GTCTTGGTTGATGTTTTCCCCTCCAACGGCCCGCCAGCCACTCCTGAGTGGCTGCGGTTCCTCCTGAGACCACAGCCGAAGCTGGGGCTGGGTTTGTTCTAAAAATTAACTCCCCCCACCGACATTCAGAATATTTTGACCTCATTGGATTTCAAAATACGATCCCTATTAACAACTTGAGACTATTTCGAAAATTTGTATTGCATTTAGGCCGTAATTAACATTCTTTACTTGCCACAGATCTCATTCTCTTTGGATATACATGCAAAGGGTACAGAAAAACAAATTATAAATAGATTAGATGACACTGGGCTTCCTTTTTGTTATTAGAGGCAGGTATGAGGATGTTACTTTGCATTATTGTATTATGCTTAGTTATAGGTTGGTACAGCGGAGCATTTTGTCTCTACCACAGCCATCATCATCCCCCCGCCCTTCTACCATCCCCACTGCCACTGGAGAGGTGCCACGCATGGAGCAGGGGGTGGCAGAGGCTTGGCAGAGTCCAGGCACGTTCACAGCACACAGTCCACACAACTCAATTTTTTAGCGTTAAGTGTAAGTCACAGTTGTTACTGTCACATTGTCTTGTGCTTAAAAGTTGAGAATCCTATTCTAAATCTGCTATTAGTAACCCATTTTGATGCAACGGATCATTCTGAAGCATGAAACTTTCCTAACAAATCACCATGCAAATAGACAAATGCATTTTTAAAAATACGATGTTAATAATTATAATGAAGTGGAAGAAATTGAGTTTAGTGCTGGCTAATAAGTAAGTGTCATCACCACAACACACCACCTTACTTTGCTTCCCAATACCCGACAGCTCTGAGCAGTGGAGGCAGGAGATGGAGAATGAGGAATAGGGCAAGAACCTGCACCTCTGTCCAGAGACCGCTTCTGAATTCAACATAGAACAATGTCAGAATTTAAAACCAGCTCTCTGCAAAATGAGGTACAGTGATTTGGCATTTATGTGTTAAAAATAACTGCACAAACATGCACTGTACAAAACTTTCTTTAGAAGCCACCCTGATTAGTAGTTGTCTTCTGTTACTACTTGCACCAGTAATTACATCTAATAAAAGTCTCCTGAAGTATTAATTCATACAGACAAGTAATAGAAATATAAATACACAGTGAGCAACACTTCCAGCACATGCATACATCAGCATATTTTGCCAATATGCACTTGGTTCCTTAATAAATGTTAGACTAAGACCTTTCGTAATGCGCCCAATGTTCCAAAAATATGGTCTTAAGTCAGGATGGCATTCTGAAAACATCACTCAAGTTACTGTTTCTTCGGGGGTTTAGTCTTACCAGTTCAAGGGGAGGAAGCTGTGGCTTGGGTCTATGATCATTCACATACAAATTGACAAGAACTTCAGCCACAGCTCCAATTGCACGTGACACCTTCCCTACAGTCATCTAACCAGAAAAGGAGAGAAGATGAGGAATAGAAGCAAGAGCTTTAGTTATTCTTGAGAAAGAATAATGAGAAAAAGACAAGAATTATTTGAAAACATGCAAACACAACAATAAAGAGAGGCTGGGAGAAAGAGCAGGGGCAAGGTCTAGCAGAGCACGAGCATGTTCATGCGTGATCAGCATGGTCCAGCTGGTGGCCACAGAAGGCTTCCATGCAGCCCACACACTTCTCCCTGCAGAGGATGCTCAAAGAGTCACTGGGAGGAAACGCTGCTCCCACAGCACAAGGGCTCCTGCCGTGTCCATGAAGGGGCTGAGCTGGGAGCTACTGCCTGGCTATCAGGGTTGGACCACTCTGACAGACAAAAACCCCACAACTCTGTTGTTTTGACTTCTTAGGACTTTGTTGTTATATTTCAGAACAGGAGGTGGGGACTAAACTTAACATTAATCGACCACAAACTGGCATTTCAGGAAACTTTCTATGAAAATGTACTAGAGTTGCCAGACAGAAAGGTTTTGTTGATGCTGACTGAGCAGCTGTTCTCCCTCTTCCCAGTGACTTATCACAATGCCAGGGAAAACTGGAGAAACTACCTCATGAAAGGAAGACCTTTCCTTTAATCTGTCATCATCGTACTATTACAGCCATGAATATTACGCTGTCTTTAAGCAAATTCAGCAGACAGGCTTGCAAGAATTAGACCAGCTTCAAACTGCCACTACATCAAGTCTCACTAATAGAAAGACTTTAAAGTGTCAGAAAGTTACCATGAAGAAAGGGGGAAATAAAATAAAAAAGTATTCCTGACACATTAAAATAATTTAAAGGCATTTTCTATTATGTTTTCAAAAACTATGATGGATAAAAATATTCTTGCTAATTAAAAATTCAAGTTCAGAAACTTGGGACCATGTCCAGCCCCTTACAGCTCCTCTTATCTTTTGAGAGTTATCCCACAATTAACTTAATATCCAGGCAGATATAGAATAAGCACGATAAGATGACAAAGGCCATTCAAAGGACAAATTTCTGTTTTGCTTCTTTTTGTTTAATACAAAAAGACTTAATTTTAAGCATCACTAAATACCTCCACAACTTGTGGGGTAACAACAGTAAAGTAAACTGTTAATTACATACCACAGCACTGTCCTAAGTGGTACATTAAATTATAAACCAATACTAGAAGTGAAACTACTTGCCACTACAGGAAAACTATGCTCCTTTCTATTGTTTAAGATCACAGAAACCAAAATTTTCCTCCCCCAAATTCTGCACCTCCAAACATGGGGATCAACTCCTAGGCCATATGCAATTTATTACTCATGGGATCTTAGTTGAAGTGGAAAGTTTACCTTGAACTAGTTAAATGCTGAAGAAATCAGTTAAGCGATAAGGCTATGCCTAAAATGCAGGTAGTTGAATTTCAGGAAAAGTATTTCTGAGCCTGAACTACACCTGGCAATTTATGAGGCTGGTTGATTTCTGTTCTCCACCCACTGGAGCAATCTGTGTTCACATGAAAGCAGTCAAAACAAGAAAACTGCATGTTTACACAGACTTTTAAAAAATTGTATTAAAAGGAAATATTCTTGTAACAAATGTGAATGCACAGTCCATATAAAAGCAAATGGGATTTCAATTTAATCTAGTGACTAAAAAATTGCCCACGGCTCTCATCTCATCAAGCCCCAAAACAAACATTGTTGCCACACACCAGCAGGAGGGCAGGAAGCAAGTGGACTTGCAGGCTGATTAAATCTCATTGTAGAGAAACTTTACTAAGAACATACTCCTTACTGTATTGGCAGTGAGTAGTCAAGGGATCAACTTGCCTTGGTACCGCACCTTTCAGATGCCTGGCAGAGGCACCAGACAGATTGAAGCACTGGGCTATGATCAAAGGGATGATAGTTAACAAGTCCAAACGCCAGATCCTACGCCTAGAAGGGAGTTAACACCGGGCACAAGTGCAAATGGGGAGAGGAGTGGCCAGAGAGCAGCCCTGCAGAAAGGACCTGGTCGGCAGCAGCTCTGTACGAGCCCGCCGTGTCCTGGCAGAGGGCAAACTCCACCCCAGGATGCACCAAACACAGCAAGACCAGCCCATCAAGAGAGGACTGTCCTGCCATGTTCAGCACTGGCGCAGCCTCACCTGGAGCACCACGTGCAGTTCTGGGTCTCATCATTTAGAAAGGACGTGAAGGTCCTTGAACGCATCCAGAGGAGGGCAACAAAGCTGGTGACGGGGCTGGGAAGGCATGTCCTGTGAGGACTTCGGGTCTGTTTAGTTTGGAGAAGGGGAGGCTGAGGAGCGACCTTGTGGCTCTCTGCAGCTTCCTGAGGAGGGGACATGGAGAAGGAGGTGCTGAGCTCTTCTCCCTGGTATCCAGCAATAGGACACATGGGAATAGTTCAAAGTGGCATCAGGGGAACTTCAGACTAGACATTAGGAAGCATTTCTTTACAGTACAGGAGCCACTATGAATTCATAACAGGCTACTGCTTACAACTCAGGCAGGTTTGTACCAGTAGCTTTAAAGCCTTTGTTGGAAGAGTTACTGCACATGGTGAATTTCAGGAAACAACCAAGAAAACACTTAAGAATTCCCCAAGTGTTTGAGATTTACTAAGATTATTGACCTGCCTGTGACTGTTGCCTAAGTTTTTCAGCAGGTTGATCAGGGTGGTTATTAATGTGGGAAGAGAAAGCTCCCTTCTGTATTTCCCCATGCTATTATGTGTAACACCAGAGCCAACCAACAAGTAAGCCTCAGCCGTACTTTCATGAAACAAAGGAAACATGCTCTCTGCCTCCAAAAGCTTACAATGCTTCCCCTTTGTTGTTTCATATCCTTAATGATTTTCCTAGTCTTACTTTGCTTTAAGGGCGACTTATTTAATTCTGGTACCACTTGCTACATATGTTTTACTTCTGAGATAAACAACATTTGAGTAATAAGTTACTGTGCGTAGGAAACACCCAAACTCTGCTTACTGCTGGTAATTAGAGTCACGTCACTGTAGGGAAGTAGTTGGTTCAAACTCTGCAAGCAGCAAAGCCTATTGACTGCAACATCTCCGTAGCTGTTAGGACATACTGTATGGATTTAGTCACACAATGCTCATATGCGCACAGTTTTCTGAAGGTCAATCCAACATTAAACAGAAAACTGGAATAATCAAAGTCCAGCCGGTAATATAATATATGCTAATTCATAATTCTACCTATGTGAATTTTGACAGCTGATTAAAGCTACAAGGTAGGTTTATTACTGGCAACTTGCATATAGTGTCATACAGAAGTTAACTCTTAATAAGTTGCAATGACTGTATGTCTTTAAAAGAAACGAGTTCTCCTTTCAGGACTGAAGCTCAGTAGCAGGTTTCTGTAATAATAAAGACAGTATGATTTCTTAGCCACCATTTTCAATAAATATGCCACCACAACTAATACTGTTCCAATGAAAATTCAAGAGGTGTAAAGGATCATTATGTCTGCTAACAATCTCAGTGTTCACTTGAAAGTAAAATGACAGTACTAACCATTTAAAGGATGGGAGGGTGCTGGAATTTATAGGTTATATCTCATGAAGTCTTATAAAACCCAAAATACTTCTATTATTTTCTATTCTTCTGCTGGGAAAAAGCAGAAACACTGAGAGCGACACGAGGAAGCTCCTTCTGTTGGCTTACCAATCCTGAAGCCTCCTAGGTCATAAAAAGTAAGAGGTAAAGCCAGGCAAAGGAATTAATTTGAAGCTGAAGGGAATTAGGAGATTACTGCAGTAAGGTTTGCAGTGTTCTTGAAGGGCTGTGTGGCTTCTCTTTTCCTCAGGAGTGAGAGAAAGGGAGTTTTTTCAACACAGACCTATCTCAGCAGAGGAATGTGCCTTCACAAACTGCAAGTCAGATCAGGATCTACCTCCTCAGTTACTGCCAAGGCTGTGAGCCTGATTTCTAACCAGCATTAACAATGTCGTGCAAAATAACCTAAAAAGAACCAGACCAACTTCTCTGCTGAATGCCCACCAGATGGGCTATTACCTTCAGCCACGGCTCGGCCGAAGTCAGGCAATACTCACGAGCGTTTCGCAAAACTGCTGTGAGTTAAATGCAACAGAAGCAGGCAGAATGCTTTGCTCCTCCTCCCACTAAATGGAGCCAGTGCCCACTTTTGCTGAATTGCACTTCTTGGACGTGCCAGGCAGCAGAGCTGCTGGCTCCAGCAGCACCTGCACTGAATCACAGCCTTCAATACTTGTAGAAACTTGACGTTCCCACTTTTATTTCCACATCAACGCTGTTCAATAGTGCCATGTTTCTAGATTGCTGCTATAGAATGTGTGGGTGAAGGAAAGGGAACTCAAGCCTTTACTTGCACTGAAAAATATCAAACTTCTCTCAGTTAAAATCCTTTTAAAGCAAGAGGAGTTAGAAGCCAACATGATCTTATCTTCCACAGATAAAAGCACAGCCCATTGTAACATCAGCCTAAATAGTATGAGCTGAGTATCTCCGATTCATCCAGAGTATGCATGTTTCTTCTCTGTAATGTTTGCTGTTACAAAGAACTGCATTCTAGCAATTAATATGCAGAAGCAAGTTTAAAGTACAAATAAGTAAACAGAGAAAACAACAATAAAATCTACATGTATCAACACATGCTCATAGAATTCTAAGGCATGTCCTCGAGTCAAAATAACCATTACTGCATAGGTTATTCTGTCCAGTCCAGACAACTTATTTTTATGAAAAGAAATACAAAAGACACTCAAGAACAATCAGCCGATCTCATAACACCCAGTTAGCTGTACAGTGTGAAGCTATTTCTCTACTAGGCATATCTGTGGTTCTATCCAATAACAGAAGTTCTGTTCTGTGGTTCTATCCAATAAGCAGCAAAACAAAATTTTCAGAATTGAAATGAAAATTTTGTTAACTATTTGCTTTGTACTTCAGTTTTATACCCAAATTTTTTTTATGATGACTTTCCTCATACAAACATGCAGAATTAGTAACAGTGAAAAAAGTAAAGCAGCTTTAGCACAAGTTAGATTTTACAGGAAAAATCTGTTAATAGAGTACCTGTCTAGAAGGAACAGCAAGGGAAGCTGAACCGACAGATGATGAAGAGGCAGCAGATGAATCATGAGGTGGAGGGCAAGAGGGAGCTGGGGGCTGAGGATGGGACAAGCCTTTAGTGGGTAGCTTATTCTGTGTAAAGCAGAAACAGGAGAGTTATCCAAGAGACAGTGATATTAGCACAGGTTAAGAGAATAATTCCAGTCATGCATCAAAAAAATTGATAAAAGAGCAGAATTGTAGTTACCATCTTTCTATTTCTGCACAATGAGTAGTCATAGACATAATCACAGCAAAACCCTCACAGCAAATGATACTATTGTACTCAGTTTTCTTACAATACAAGCAGTGAGCAGTAAGGTAAGATAGTGCTGGGAGCAGGCAAAATTAAACATAAGAAATTCCAGACTGCAATGGTTAAGAGCTACTGCTCACCAGTACATCAGAAACTGTGAGCTACCAGTGTATACTTAACCACAAGAATTTCTCTTGTGCTAAAGCACTCTGACTAGCTTTACTATTGTGTTTTACCTTAATCATATTATGCAATAATATTTAAACAAAGCTTTTTACCAGTTTCAGTGGAATCCATGTTACCCTTCAGATCCACCCAGAATGAAAGGAAATTTAAAAAGAAAACCGTTGCAACTGTTTCCCCCACAAATTCTTAAACCTCTTTTAACTCAGCACTTCTTCAGGTGCAAACCGCAATATTCACCTTTGGAAACTCCATGTATCCAAACATTGAGGCAAGATGCGCTGCTTTCTCTTTTATATTCTTTTTATGGAATTCCCTATTTGCTATTGTCTGAGCTCTTTTCTGAAGTAAGAGTCAGGGAAGGAAAGTCAGGAAAAGAAAGAGAGAGAGATTTCAGTTGATGTCACATACATTATCAGAATACAGCAAGTTTGCAGAAAGACTTTATATTGTCTTAGTATAACCTAAAGTTAACAGAGAAAAAGACAGCATACCCAGGGAAAATACAGTATGCAGATTAACACATGCAGGTAAGGGACAGAAAGGAAAAGAAATTGCTTGTCACCTGTTTCATTTTTTCCTCCAGGTGCTGAAGACGCTCAAGCACTCCAGAAAGCACAAATGCAGCAGAACAGGCAGATGCGAGACTTTCAGAGGTTTCTGACAGACTGGGCTGGGAATCTGATTTTTGTACAGCCTTTGCCCTCCTGGCCATATGATCAGAACCACTTAAAGACTGTTTGGGTTCCCTGACCTTGTGTTCACTCCTAGCTACCACCTGAAACTGGGAAACACTTGAAGTGAAAAAAAACTGCTTCCTGCACGACCTTGCAGTATATGCAGCTTTTAAGGATGCTTCTGAAAGCACGGCAGAGTCAGGCACGTAACCAGAAATAAAATTTTCTCACATCATTCTTTGCACACTATCTATTGCATCTCTGACGACTGTGTTCATGCACTGAAATAACTTATACAGGTCTGTAACAGCTTATGCATAACTTATACAGTCCTACGTAATTTATGCAGGTCTTGACGTCCTTCCCTAGGTTTGTGTTAGTTTTTATGAGTAACCCCAGATAGCACTAGTGCCAAAGAACGTGACACTACATCTCCTTCTAGGGTTTTTAGCAAAAGTCTTGAAGTATTTTTTAGCATCACATCTGCCTGAACCTAAACTTACAATTAAATTGTAAGAATATCAACAGTAGTTCTTGGAATAATTCTAGACGTGGTCTGACCTAAGCTATAACGCACTTCATATTTAAAGCATTTTCTAAGGAGTTCAGAATAGGTCTCCAAATTTTAGCCTTCATATAAAATAGCTTTTAAAGTAGATGAAATATTTGAACCACTTAAGCTTTAACAAATTCAGTCTTAAAAATGACCTTCCAGTTGGTCCTTTCATTATAGTTTTCTACTTCATCCTATCTGTTCAGTTCAAATAAATACACAAGCTTTCAGAATTTCCCACAATTAAAAAATAAAACTAATTCAAATCAACTTGAAGTGTTCTCCTGATGTTACAGGATAGCACATCTGCCTTTAAAACAACAATTCTCAACTGCTTTAGGAATCCACTTTTTCATCAAGCTGATGAGCAGATTTCCATATGCAATGCAGATATCATTTCACTGCAGACTACTGTTGAAACACCACTACAGGATATTTAGTTCCATTTAAAACTCAATGTAAAGTCAATGTCAATCCTATTTGATATAGGATTGTTTTCACGGGAAGTACTAAGAGAAATATTTAGACAATGTATTCAAAAATTTTGCCCCATGAATATGATGTTGCAAAAGAGTTTTCAGCAGAAATTCGTATCACAAGCTCTGCTTAGAGAAATTTAAAAATAAATACATTAAAAGCATCAGTATTAGCTTTTCAGTGCTCAAGTTATCTTAGATATTTTTTAACAGGTTGCTCAGTGTGGAAGCTGCTTTATCATTACCGTGCATCAAGTACATGCAAAACTTTTCAAATACTACTATAGTTTTCTCACATGTTAAACGTAGCTATGTAATTCCCTTAATACAACGTGGAGTCTAGATGTAACCATACAGAAATGAACATCCATGGTTTTAAGTGGTTTTTTTTTCCCCCATGCAGTTACTAATTCTTTCAAATTGATTTCTCACCTGATAAAGGAAGTGTAAAATAATCTTAAATTTTAATGTGGCTTCCACAATTCTCAGCTAAATGTATCTGTTAATTCTGAAGACTACATCCAAATATTGTTTTCTATACTCTGTAGCTACACAGTAACACCGAGTTCCCAGAAGTGGTGTGCTTGTCAGGTGTTGCCCATATGAGTTCCTACCTGCCTTTTTGGCTGAGGTGGAAGAAGAGTTGGATCCTTAGGCTTAGCAAAGCGAGGATTAACGGGAGGGTCAGAAGAGAGCAGGGCGGGTCTATCTATTAGATCCTTGTAAAGCATTTTTAAAATTATAAGGATAGAATAGAGAGAAAAAACACAAAAGACGGTAAATAGGATTCAAAGATCTTTCACGGCACAAAGAAATAAAAGCTGCTTTTAAAGATATGTTAGTATGAAGCTTAATAACATGTTAGGCTTCATTTTTGTAACCTACCCATTTCATTAACCCCGACTACTAATCTTTTACTAACCCCTAAACATACTCAAAATTCAGCACATCCAGGTTCTTTGAGAGGTTATGATCCAAAGGTAAAACTTCTTCAATGTGACCAAGTTCAGCTCTGCACATGTATGCAATTCCACTACACTGTATAAATATCAACTTTACATTAATATGCATTAGTCCATCTGTACTAGTCTTATTTGTTCTCTAAGTATCAAGAGGAATACCTTTAATTTTCATCAAGTACTGAAAAAAAAAAGACAACCCACTTCAAACATGTAACAGATCCCTTGAAAATCTGCAAGGAAGGGATTTCAGAGGTTGCTTTTCTGTTCATCTAAGACCTACCTGCCTCCGGAAAATTGTATTTGGAGCATTCTCTTCAAATTTTGCCAACAGCTGAGTTGCCATTGATTTAACTTTATTCTGGTTCATTCCTTCTCTGCCATTACTCTGTTCTTTCCCATTTGTACCTTGGCTTGAAAAGCCTGAAGCCTGCAAGGAAACAACAAACTGTTTTTCTCAAGTTTACCTACGATACTCAAGAAGACAAAGATAATATCCTTTTCAGCAAAGGGTGAAAGGAAATACAGTGTATCAAAAAATTACACCATTTAGCATGCAAAAGGCACTGAAAAATATTTTCTTTGGTCCCACAGTACAGTAAAAATGGAACATTAATCAGTGTAGGTGACGATAAAGCAGAGTTACAAAGGTAACTAATCAGAGAGGGGCTAGGAATTAGGCTGCAATGGAAACTCTTCAAACAAAAATTTGTTTGAATAACTGAGTTGGCAAAACCCAAAAAAACCCCAACTCAATATCTTAAATGCTCTTGGGTCAGAAACAAAAATAGTGCAATTTAGGTAATGCTCTCCTCTCTACCAAATGATCTAAATAAATTTACCTCCTCTTTAGTGCACATTACAGTAAATTCAAGGTTCTCAGAGAAGAGCCTTTTTGTTACCGACAAGCCCAAGAGGCCAAGCCCTGGCCCCCAACTCCTGCTGCTTCCTCAGCTCTGGTGCTCCTCAAGGAGCTGGGTATGTGTGGACACCACTGAACACCAACCTCCTCGAAGACACCAAAAACACCTTTTCGACGCCTTTTGTTCTCATTTTCTTCTGCCTTCCCTTCGACCTGAAACAGTAAAGCCCAAACAAGTTCTATGGATTACTGCAGCCATTACCAGATTTACCCAAGCAGTTCCTCACGGGATATTAACCGTCACAGGCAGGCCCGTGTGGCCTGGCCCACATTAAACGAGGTGACCAGAGGTTTGCTGTGCTCACGTGGGGGGGCCTCACCGCATGGCATGTGAGCCCCCGCAGCTCAGCAGGACCACGCCTCGCCCGAGGAGCCTCATGCCCTCCTGGCAGTTACCACAGTTGTAAAAGCTGCCCTAGGCTACATTGGCTTCCAGGTAAGTAACAAAATCCAGAAACCCTCACTCTTCCACTATTAGAGCCTCCATATCTCTTCTAATCTAGACATCTTTCTTGGAGCAATTGTCTGCCTTAAAGGTTTGTCTCCCTTGTAAGGCTCGTCTCCATGACTGTATGACCTTACATGACAGTACTGAAGCAACAAAACTGCCTTTCTTGTGCTCAAGCTATGCACGCCTTTTATTATTTTACTGAACTAGAGATTACACAAAAAATAAGTTATGCTTCATATTCAATCCACACAAACTTGCAAAATAGTCAGTGCTTAGAAATTTGTATCAGTTCACATTAAATTCAGTCCTGAAGACTTAGTAAAGTGGAGAGATTTTGTCTGGGGGAAAAAAAAGTCAGGTTATACTTAATGAAAAGTTTAGGTTATAGTTCATGAACAATAAACTACATTACTAATTTGCATTCGCCCATGTTGTAGGTTAGTGATTGCTCAGCCAACTTTATTAGGTTTTTTGTTTGTTTGTTTGTTTTAAAGAGAGAAAGATCAAAGTATACAGGCTTCCTTTTTACACATACACTGTTTGTAATAAATCATTATGCAGTGAATACAAGTAATGCCAAACAACTTCTGGGCAAACACCAAAAGAATCAGATGACAATATTTTGATTACTTTGTATGCTTCGGTACATTGTCTTTCAGGCAACTCTCAGTAACCTAGCTTTACACTGCCCATAGTCATTAGTCTACAAAGGAAGAGTGAACAACATTAACAGCACAATGTATTCTGCATAATAATCTGTAAAACATAAAAGCAGAGTTTGTCTAAGTGAATGGAGCAAGCAAGATGCTGCCTTTCAAAAATCTTACATAAAGGACTTTCATTAACATATTTACAAAGAAACGAAAAGACAAAGCAATTTAATTGCCTAGCAAAACTCTCAGAAGAACGACTGTGTCCTTTCTTGTGTAAACACCTCCATTCACTTATTAGTCTGGAGCACAGGAAACCTCAGTTCATCTCCAGTCAGGCTGACACTGGTAGGAGAATGGAAAACGTGACCCAGCCCATGCTGCCAGAGCAGCCACCGCAAGACCAGCTCCAGACCCTGATGCCTGGTCTCTCACAACCTGTGCCCAGATAAGGATCCCTCTTCCAGTCAAATAAAAGGAAAAAACAAGATGGTATGGAAAGTTTAGTAAGTGACACCCTGTTACCCCTCGCCTGGGTCTTGACTCCAAGACGTGTGAGTGCTCTCCTGCACTCACAGCTGGGTAACACTCAGCACCTCTTTTTGCAGGGAATAAAACACAAAACTGAAGCTACAGCCAAACTCTCAACTCAAGCAGTCACTTTCCAAGCAGCTTCATTTCCCGCTGGTTTCAGCACTCACAAGTCTCTCTCCTACCCTGAGAACAGAGTTTCTCGCTTAGTTTCACACCCCATCGATGACAGGGCTGCAATGCCTCATACAAAATAAAGTCTTGACAGTCCTGCTCCCCAAGCTGACTTGGAAAATATCACTCCACTTCTCTTCAAACGAGCCCCTGTAGTGTGAAACCAAAGGGGCTCGTCAAGCAAATCACCTCGTGCTTTCATGCAGTGCCAAGAACTATACCTGCTGTTATGACAGAAGGCTTATTTCACGGCAGGAGGTTAGTCAGAGGGCTGTACAGCTCAGTAATGGAAAGCTCTCCCCGCTACTAAAAGTCTATTTACTTCTGCAAATAACTCATGGGAGAACAACAACATTGTGGTTATGAAAAAGGTTTTTCCTCTAAAGAAGTCACCCACAAGAAAAAACAATGTTTATTTTGCCTGTTTTATTTCTCACTGCTTGGTTAGCTGGGAAATATGTCACTTGGTTTTGTGTATATGTGGGTGGCAGGGAAAATTATTTCCTAACAGGGGTATATATAAAACCCCCTTACTTCTGAGCCCGACAGTTTATTTTCATCTTTTTAAAAGATAAAGATTTATAGGGCAAGCCTTCCTTCACAACTTACCTTTGGTACTCGCTTTCTTGGTAAAGTTAAATTCATATAATTATTAAAGATGAAGTTTGATGATTTTGCTGAACAAAGATCATTATTTTCTCCATTTTGCTTGTCACCAGCATCTGCTCAAAAAAACAACTGTTAAGGATACTTATTCAGATTTCTTTTTTAAATACTTTGGCTAAGCCAGAACTTCCCAGTCAAGTGCAGGAAGCAATTACATATAAGAAACTCAGGTAAATAAATAGCTGAGTGACTTTTTAAAAAGGAAGAGAAAGACCCTGGAATGGACATGCTGTATGTAGTCATCCTTACTGGAGAACCCCTCTAACGACCTGACACATGAACCTCATGATGTCAGGCAGCAGTTATCCAGCTGCTCCTGAAACCACCAGTTATCCAGCTGCTCTCTGAAACCACCAAGGAACCACAAATCCCTGATCTTCAATCAAGTTTTTCCCTCTTTCCTTTTTTTAAGCACAAGGTAACTATTGCAGACAGAAGCAGGCATGCTCGCATGCCAGAACGGCTCAGCTGGGAAAGGGCTCTTGGCTCGCCAGCAGTGCTCACAAGCAGCCTGGACAAAGTGCTTCTGCTCGCAAACTTAGAAGGATTAGGAGCAATTTGGGTTCAGCTTACCTACTGCCCGCAGAGGTGTGCCCCTGAACAGTTCGTAAAACTTGGAGAGGTACATGACCATGCTGAGCTTGTCAGGCTCCCCAGCCGACCCCACCTCCTTCCCCGTGGTCACAGGGGGAATCCCAAACTCCTGCTCAGCAACATCGAATGCCAGCTGGTTGTTCTTGACAACGTCCTCTTCATTCAGAGCATCAAAGTCACTGTGGGGACAACACACTGGCATCAGCAGCATTTTTGCCTTCTGCCTCTCTCCCAAAAGACACACCCACTGCTCCCCTGTCTGTTGGAGAGGTGCTCAGGCATTTCACCAGGTCAAAGCTACAGAGTCTACACAACGGCAAAGGTAAGAGTCTCATACAGATGCCATTATTACAAATCCTGGCTTTGCCAGAAATGTCATTTAAAAACTATTTCATTGAACTGGATTTTGATGTAGTCCCATGAAAAAGGATTTCCTTATTTATGAAGAAATGTATTTCCTCCTCTGAAGTGCCAAGAAACCTTTTTTCTTTTCAAATATGGCTGTGAAACTACAGATTTCATCTGCTAGCAATCGACTTTTTAGTTTCAAATAGTTCTATAAATCATCAAAGCCAGGAGGAGTAAATTTAGGCTATCATTTTATGAAACAACCATGTCACATGTGTGTGCACACATGCACAGGCATGACATTTAAGGCGTTACACATAGAGTTTCCTAATGTCCACGTCACAACTGGACTTAGCAGTGCACTACAGTACATCCCACATCTGGAGCTGCATTAACCATTCTCTACTCCATTTTCTATGGGGCCTTTTCTAAGACTCTGATCCCTTGAAGAGCATCCAAAATTCATTATTAAAATAAACGTGTGAATAAATTACAAAGCTCCAGGCAGGCTAGTTTCTCTCTCCTCATAAGGAACGTGAGATTTTTGAACCCCCACGGAATTTCTCTCCCAGGCTATCTCCAGGGCCAGGGGCTGCCGCCCCAGCCCTGCCTGCAGCTGCCTCTCTTGCCTGCCTGGCTTTCCTCTGGCCAAGTCCTTCAGCAGTCCCATTTCATACAGAAAAACAGCCAACAAGATCTGAACACAATGTTAATTACACAGCAGGAGGTCTGTTAGCTCAGGAACATAAATCTATCAGCTCTGTAGAGAGCAGTGCTTAAGTGACACGGTTTCCACAAACAGCAAAGATTGCTTTGCTTTCTACTCTCTCTTTCTCTCTCTTGCTTATATCCACGAAACCATCCACAAATCTCCCCCCCTTTTTGTTTTTTAAACTAAAGGAAAAAAAAAATCTTACAACGTTAGCTCTTTCTCTGGCAAAGCTGTACAAACAAGCACCCTGGGTAATACTCCTTTTCCTTCCAGCTTATCACACCTCATAAAAGGGCTTGATCATTTCTTTCATTTATCCACAATAAAGGAAGGCTGACAATAATTAAATCACGATTCTTAATTCTGTGTAGGAAGGCAAGCGAATGCATCCACTGCATTTTTGAGACTGGTGAGAGGATAGAAGAGTCACGCCACCACAGATTGCATCAAGCAGGCCCAGTAACCTGGTGCCAGCAACTGCCATCTCCCGACATCTGCTGCACGCTGACTCGCTGGTGTCTGACCACGGAACTTAATGAAATATTCATACAGAAGAAGTCTTGTAGGGTCAGGAGCCCAGCAGCACTGTCAAAAGAGGACTGCTGGCTTGCATGCAAGAAGTTAACTTCCAGGGGCCAGCCCATGCTGCAGCGCCCACGTGGGTTCTCCCAGCAAAGAGCTGTGCAAAACCACCATCTCCTGTCCACCTCCACGGCCCAATGCTTCCCCGCATGACTGTCACAGCAACCACTACAACACCCTGGGAATGGCTTGTTGAAAGCTCATCCAGGCATTTCTGTTACTTAGGACAGCACTATTATGGCTGTGGTTTTAAACATACACTAAAAACCTGTCTCCTAGGAGCACAACTCACCAAGCACTGTAATTTTTGTTTTAAATAGCTATGTGATTCCCGCAAATGCGATCATAAGTCATAAGATTCAAAGCCCTAGCTCTTTGAAAACATATATATTAAATTTTAAATGGCATGCTATGACATACAGAAAAAAACAAAGCAAAACCAACCCCACCCTCGTCATCCCCCAAACGTGGCCATGGTGTGCACCTCCTTGCAAAAATCAGCAATACAAGGGACCTGTAGAATACCATTCTTTTGGCTAGTCCGACACTAAACATTGGTAAATGCTTATTATATCCTACACAAGATCTACAGATGACACTTACATGAGGTCGGGTCTGAAGTGATGGATAATTGCACACAACGCAAGGCCACTTTTCCAGGAGGTAGTCAGGTCTGTGATGTTAACATTACGATACCCTTCTGTCTGTTTCTGACACCAGGTCAAAAGCTTGTTAGGTCGAATATCAGACTCTGCAGTTATAGTGGAGACCAAACGTTCTGATCAGTTTTTGTTGCTCAAAAGGTTCCAAACATTAAGCCAGACGACTATGTGATGTCACATACCTTGTCTTGAGAGATTCACTGATCTTCTAATGGAGCTTACTCTTTCAAGAGGACACTGTTGTAACTCATTAGTAACATATAAATGTCTCACCTAGAAGTAAAAGTGATTAACAACATAATGTTAGAATTGCTTGGAGAGAAACAAAAGAGTTTTCTGTGTCAACTTATCAACAACTGGATCTAAAATAAGGGGTATCCTGAATATTTTTTGTTTATGCACTACTTCTGGACCTATTTCTCCCAGATAAAAAAAGAACTGCAATTTCACAAGCAAGCTTTTTAAGTACTGACCTGGTGAGGTCGAACACAGCTTGAGTTCAAGTTTGGGTATCTTGTTCCTGGGTCAATGGTATACTGGTCAAAGTTCTTGTTAATATTTTCAGGGGTAGTCTGAGGTAAAAGTCGATAAATGCTCTCTCTTACAGAGAAAAAAGATGCAAGAGATATTAAAATAAATATCTACTATACAAATAATACTTTATTCTTTGAAGCTACCTGCACCTTATTTTGATTCTGCCAGAACAAGTGTTATGCATTGAATGCATAACGCATCTACCCCATTCCTTATCTCCACTCAGCAGGAGAATGATGCCAGACCGGAAAAGTACAAAAAGAAGACAAAAAGACAGATTCTTAGAACTTCTGCCCATGTTTTCCTGAGGCAGGAAGCAAGCAAGAAAGAAAAGAAAAAATAATAATAAAAAAAGTTACATCATTCAATCATCTGGTTTTGCTTTAACCTCCACCCAAGGAGTAACCTCTCTACCACATTACAGCACTAAATCCCATCATCCTGCAATTCCTATAACCACCACAGCTTTTTTATTATGCTGTTCAATTTTCCATTTGGGACTATGCTGTGTTTGAGTCATCCCACAGGCTTCTGCCTCGGAACTTCTCAAAGCACTGTACTTAGTACCGCTTTTACTTGCATTACCACAACGATGACGATATCTATTGTGTATCTGCCCCGAAACAGCCTGGGCAGCTGCAGTTGCCATCAGAACTAGAGTCAGCAGCTTCAACCACCAGACCGCAGTGACACCAGGACTGCTGGTGTACTTAACAGATTTTTTTTTTGCTGTGGTCAAAAAGACATTACACAGAGAAGCCTATGATGCAGCTTTATAGCAATTCTCCTTTGCCACACATTTATCAGTCTAAATAAAGAGGACATCAGGGCTACTAAGCTAAAATGCAGGGTTAAAATTACAGATACCAGCTATGAAAGCTGTTGGTGATAAAGTATTTATTTAGACTTGTTTCAGGAAGATTTTTTTTTTAATTAAAAAAACAGGTGCCAGGATGGTTAGAGGACACAAGATGTCTTTGGCTTATATCCTTAAGGATCACAATTAAGTCACTAGTGACTTAAATCAGTGATTCAAGCCCATGTCGTACATTGTTGGATCTCTGTATTAGTGTGCAGAAGCTTACAGAGCAAGGCACTTGCTATTGAAAACTGCTATTTAAACCTGAACAAACGTATAATTTCAACCTGATGTCATTGCAGTGAAGAAAAATTATTTCTCCTGTTGGCACTTCTGAATTCCACTGCCTTCTACCGATACTGCAACTCTTTAACTGGAAACAGTGGAGAAGACAAAAGCAGCACTCACCGTTCAGCAAGGATTTCTAACGGGGGTTTTCCTTGAGCCCAGCTCCGCACCATCCATGCAGTATCGAAAGCAGCTAAGAAGCCTCTTGCACAGCCAGTACCCATTGGCCAGAAGGGCTGTAAGAAGCATTTACATTTTAATCCATTGTATTTCTTAAGATCTTATTACAAAAGTAACTTGCAATGTGAATTTGGAGTCTAGGATTTCAAAACGTCTCAGAAAAGTAGTCCAGTAAGAATTAAAATGCAACATAGTCAACTCTTAGGTAATGAAAAAAGACTGTTTTCCTTTTTTCTAACTTCTATATTAAAAAAATTTCTCAACCTCAAAAGGTAAAGGCTGAGAAAAAAAGAAAAAAAGATGACTCAATATTCAAGAACTAGTCAAGGAAAAAAAGCGAAAAAGAGATGCCTTCTAATTTTTCTTTTGACTGAAACAATTTAGGCTCTCAGCATGAGTTAAAAAAATAAAATAAAAAAATAGTTGTAACATACACTTTACACTTCAGAAAGCGAAAAAGAGAACATATTAAGACAAAGAGATTGCAATAAAAATTTGGTTCAAGCTTTTCTCTGTAATGGAAGTCAGGAAAATTTTACCACGCACCCAAGCTGAGGACACATAGCTCACAGTTTTCAGACAGGAATATGTCTTGCATAAAGTAAAACAGAATTGCAGCCAGAGACTGCCAGTCAAGCCTTAGTTATGACAAACTATGGCATTAAAAAAAAAAAAAGAAAAGAAAAAAGGGAAAAAAAGTCTATTCCAAAGAAGGTACCATTGTTTCAGGACTTCTAAGAGAAGACATTTTGTGTGCAAGGGTAGATTGAATGATGGGATTACTGGAAGGGCGGGAAACAAACAAAAAAAACCCTAACCGAACAAAACACCCAAACCAAACAAAACCCCGAAAATTTGGAAGACATTCCAAGATATACCTCAAGCAAACTATCTCCAACAAGTGCCACCAGCAGCCGATGTCGGTGCCTCTCTCTCACTAGCGCAGCATTTTCGGATGCATACATGGAAGTAAAATCAAACATTGCTACATCTGATTGCCCATAGTGATTAATAGCAAAATCCAAGGAAGGCAGCTGGTAATTGGTTGCAAAGTCAGCAGCTTCTCTGGCGTAGGACAGCAAATTGCTCTGGTTCACATTTTCTCCACAGAGGAGCAACTCAGTATCAATATAGTCCTGCAAGGAGAGAAGCATGCCCTATTAGACACTCCAGCTATCCTCTCTGGGTCAGAATGTTGCAGTCTTGTAGCAACTACACACCTCACAGCAAACAATCAAGTGAGATTTGTCATCTCCTCCAAAAAGTTAATACGCAAACACAGGTACACGCACTGCTCTGAACAGGAACCCTCTGTGCCAACCCCAGATAAGCAGCTTTACTCGCGATACATTACAGTGCCTCCCAGTTCCTCAGTTCTGTGCTATTTTTATAACATTACTTCACTCGCATCAGAAGATGTTATCACCGTCACTGCAATGCTCTTCTGCATGTGCGCACCCCACATCTGAAACCACACGACAGCAGAAATACCAATGGCATAACATGCAGGTGCCAGCCTGAATATTTGCTTTAGCATCTCGGTAGGAACACATTCAAACTTGGATCACAGAAGCTTTTCTGTCGTTCTGCACTGGGCTGGGGGTTTTTTTGCCCTTTTGGTAAAGGACTCTGCCTTTACAAGTAAACCTACTTAAAGCCAGTGATTGTTAATACAGCAGTTTCTATTTACAGCTTAATCATGGATGAGACCCCTAATCGCAGAGATGACACCAAAGAGCTCCTATTAGCCCAGTTGTCTGAGACAGACTGGTTTGTGGGTTTTTCTTCCATTCAGACCTGAGCAGGTCAGGAAAACAGCTCTGATGGGCCACAGCTCCTGCTCCTCTTCTCCAAGCTGCCCACAGGTCTCCTGGCACTGCACCCACCTACAAACACCAGTCCCCCCTGTCCTTGGGCCACCTCTCTCTCCCCCATCACTGCTGGGGGCTGCTGCCCTGGGAGACCCCCATCCTTGAAGGCTGGAAATCATGGCACTGAGTTAGTGGTGCCATCAGAAAGCCAAGAAGCCTTCTGATAGTTCCCCACAAGTACTTCCTTCAGGAAATTATACTTGGCTGTTTTGGCACTGTCTTACTCTGCAAGAAAAACTGACCTCTCTTGGGTTTCCAGGAAAAGAAATTTAAATGGTGCCAAAACACTTTCGAGAAATGAAAGAAAACAAACCCTTACATCTTACAGAAGAAGGAGGGGGGGAGAAAAGGCCTCAAAGCCCCAATTATCTTTGCAAGTTCAAGCTATTGTGTTTATAGCCTCCTTTTATCATGTTTCACCCACTTTAAAGAATTTGCAATTTAGCATTTAGCCTGGGACAGGTTTTAACACTTCCTTATTTGCCTGATAAAACTGGACTAAGTTCTCCTTTAAATAAATGAGTTTTTTATTTCACGGTGTGATGACTACACAATGTATTTCCAAGGTGAGTCAAGATCCCATTTCAGGCAGTTTCAGACTGGACCAATTTAGGAAGTATCGTTTTCAGTTCTCTACAAAAACTTTGTGCTGACTGGCGGGAAAAACAAATGAACAAACAAACAAGAGTAAGATCTAAGTGATCTGAGCTTTAATGAAGTAATCTACTAAGTCTATAAACACTCTCTATAACATACAACAACATCTATGCAGATGTTAACACTTATTCTTTGCCAAGTAAATAAAATAGGGGTTCAGCCAGCATTTTTACATACATTAATAATCACTCCTTTGTCCAGAAGACTCTGTTTTTTTGCTGTCATCACAAAATAATGAGTGTTATCTTTGTAGTAAACAATATTCTCCAGGTCAATTCCTGAAAAGAAATACATTTGTTATGAAGCACAGTGCACTGTCTATGTCATTTGCTAACAAGGTGACTGATTCCCACTGGTGTGTTTCCTTCCTCCAATACGCTCACTTTCCCAACTGGGATAAAGCATTAGTTGACAAGATGCTCTAAAAACAAAATGAGAGAGGAGATCAGCCTGACCCCACAAGAGTTTGTCTCAGCATAATTTAAACTTATTTAGCATCCTTTAAAGGAATAGCCACTTAACTACAGCCCTAATCTTTGGAGGTAGAAAAGGGGAGCCAAGGGAACAAAGCGGTTTTCAGGTTGCTAGGGCTCTGGCATTTGGTCTAACCAGGAGTTCTGGCTTCTAGTATAATAATAATAATAATTTTAAAAAAATAAATTAGTCTGTAAATCAAAAATGGAATTGCTTGTATTGACACAGGATGCAACTATTCTGAAAACCCTATTCACACAGATCTATCCTACAGTTCATATTTTAGACATTTATGGCACATCCCTGTGTAGTTCTTTTCAGTTTATCAGTTCTACACATCAGAAAGAAAGAGTAAACTCCTCCCAGAAGGGCAGAGCCTTTTTCACAGGGTGTAAGCTATTCAGTATGTGAACAGATACAAACAAAACAAACCATGTCTTAAGGGAAATCTCCGGGCCCTGAAAATGCTCTTCTAAATTTGTTCAACACAGTAGACATTTTACAGTTGAGAAAAATTTAAACATTAAAAAAAGCTATGATATGGCAACGTCCAAGCTAAAAAAAAATATAAAAAATGCCACCGTACCATAAATGGACACTTTCATCTGCAAGATTCTGACATCAACAGCATTTTGTCAAAAGGCAGGTGGTGTGGTAGATAAAGAGTTCCTCTACTGCCTCTTGTATTTGGTTGTAGAAAAAATGATGCACCCACCTGTATCCTCTTTAAGGTCCTGGAAGAACTTCTGATTGAAGATGAAAGCAACACCACTAATTTCTTCTACCTTGGCTTCTGCAGTTGTATTTCTGTTTATAAAATTGGCAGTGATAGCTATAGCCAGCTTTCCACGAAACTCTTTCCTCCTGAAACCTGGTAAGCAAAACAGTTGTGGTAACAATAATTTCAGTTTGCTGATAACTGACTCTTTAAACAGTCTTTTATGGGTGACAGCAGGACAATAGTTGGGGAAATTTCTAATAGAGAATTAACTGTAAGCATATTGTAGTTAGCAGATATAAGAATAAGTAGTCAAACTATGAGGCTAATAAAAAAGGAAATAGTGTACTTAGTGAACTGAAACTAATACAGATATAATTAAAGCTACAAAGGAAACATATAATTAACAGGTTTGTCATGTGATACAGAAGCAGCTTATACAGTGTCTTGCTAAGACTGACAGCTCAAGGTGGTCTGAATTGTCAGGAGTGGCTCAAGCTCATGAAGCATCGTTCCCCTCTCCCCACACCACCTTAGAATTATCTATTATCTTTTGGTATCCAAAGTAACTGCTGCTGAAGTTAAAGCACCTCTACACAAGCGCAATACCTCTGATGCCTTCATTAAATAGCTGGCAGTCATGTTTCGGTCGTTAGTTCAAACACAGTGCAAATTCATGCAAAAACCTGACATGTATCTTGTCGGCCTCCTTAACGTAATGTCAACAACTAAACCTTGAAGCAAGCTCGATGGCGTCACCATGCATTTTGTAGGCAATGCAGACACACAGCGCTGAGAATCAGTAATGGCATTAAACATTTATTTTGAGCTACAACTTAACAAGAGAAGCAGAAGATACCACATAAAAAAAGTTTCCACACCGAGTTCAGTGGAAAGTCAGCCTGCTGCTTTGTGCTCTCCTCTGACTTTTAAGGCCTTCCAAAATACCCTAAAAGACCATCAATAAGGCTGAAAGCACACAATCACCTACCTTCTAATGTGTTCCTGCGGCCATCTGCACCAATAATAACATCAAACTCGTACTCTGACAAAGGGTGATCCATGGGGAGATATTCAGCCCTCCAACCTATCTCTAAAAACATAGAGAATAATATTTATTCATTCTTCAGCAATACAATGGAGAAGTGCTTTCAGAGTCTGGAGAAAGGGCATTAAGAGCAATGGCCCATTTCTCATTTGAACAGAGCTGAATTCTGCCTCAGTTTGATGCAGCAAAGTTCTGCTGCAACCAAAGCTACCTTCAGACTGGTTTAGCGACTTGACAAGCTCATAAGTTGACCATTAAAAAAACAGAAGCCTGTATATTTATCACCCAATGCATTAAACTTCCTCTCAGACCCATAATACAAGAATATGCTGAAGCACTTAATTCTCACAGAAATAGCCCCACAGTGACCTTATCAAGACAGAACGTATATGTGGTAACAGCAAGGAAGGGCTGAGTTTTAAAAGAACAATTGTCAATAATATTAATCGCCCTCTAAATAGAAATGAAACAGAAGCAAACTCACAAAGCTAAATTTAATCTTTGCATTACCACAAAGCTAATTATGTGAAAATGTGTTTTCCATATTTTAAAATTATATATGCTTTAACTGCTTAGAACAATATATTTATTCTACTGTCACTATATGACCATTTAAAGAGAGATAGAATAGTATTTTAATTAAATTAAAACTTTAAAATATTCTACTTCTATTACACCCTAAATACTATTTTTTTCTAAAACATAGGAAAAAAAGGAATGGGAAATTTTTCTCTGTTTTATTTAAAAACCTTGCATAAGATGGCTGATAAGACTCTGCGCCAGCGGGAGTTACACCAAGTGCAAAAGCAAAATGAGGCCCAGGGAGCTCAATCCATCCTCAATATTTACATTATCAATCAAAAATTGTTGTTGCAAGAAGATAGCAAAAAGCCACACCAGACTCCCTACAAAGCCCCAAACACAAGCCAGGAGGCATAGTGCAAAACCTCAACTTCTCAGACTGGGTCTTGTTTTAAGAATTACCAGTACTCTGTCACTAGGATACTTATCACACGTATGACTGTGTATAGCAAGCCTAGCTGAATAAAAAGGGCAAAAACCTCCCATTTTTTTAAACAGAATTCAACTACCTTGAATGATTTCACACAATGCCTATAAATAGAAATACAGTATGATAAACAATACTTTGGTTTTCTTGATCTTCAGGAGGTTCCAGAACTTTCACAAATTCTAGATTCACATGAATTTCAACTCCTAGTATCAGTGCAACTTTGAAGAGGATAAGTTGAAGTTGTCGAATACCTGTAGACAGCAATTAACAAAGATGTATTTAATATATAAGTAAACACGGCTGCTACCAGAATGCCACCTAACCGACATTCATCGTTAACACAGGCCTGTAACATTATTATTTCCCATGCTATGATGAATAAAAATATCCCTCTTTTGCGTATTTTCTCATGAGATTAAGGTTGTGTCTCCCTTCAACATACCAGACCTAATACCAATATTTTTCATGCTTAGTAACAAAAATCTATTGTTTAACTAATTCATGCTAACACAAAAGCTGCTCCTGAGACTCATTTATTCAATTGCCATTTTGTCTAAATGAGACTTTTTTCCCCTCTGTGTGCTCCCCACACACTCATTCATGTTTAAGGCAGATGAGCTGTCTGCCAAATCAAGAAAGTCTCCATTAATCTTCTGACCTTGGTACACCTCTAATGTGAGCAGTGCCCATGCCTTCAGATACTTACTGATGTGATCAATAGATCCTGCACAGAATTTTCCGTAAAATTTCTTTGCTCCCAGTCCCCGGAGGTCTTGGATTGTAAACGGCCAAAGGTGCAACACATTGTTTCTTGAAAAAGCATCTCGCTTCTCCACGACGACGACTTTGGCCCCCAGGAAGGCAAGTTCTATGGCAGTCCGTAAGCCACATGGGCCACCTCCAACAATTAAACACTAGCAGAGAAAAGGAAGAGTCTTACACAGGGTTTTGTATTGACTTCCACATAGTTTCTAACTTACTCTATTGGTATGACTTGATATTTAACTGGACTTAGGCTACTGAGAATGTATTCAAGCCATCTATTAAATCAGTACACATTCAAATTTTGTTCGCACGTGATGGTCAGTCAATTGCTACAAGAGGATAAACTGTGCTTCATGCAGACATAAAAGCATCCCATAAAAAAAAAAGGTAACAGAAGAAAAAAGCTAAACACTTTGGAGCATCTGCTTGTGTATTTTTAATTCTCACATTTAGTATTTCAAAAGTGCTTGTGGTAAACAGGATTAGAGCTACATAAAAGGGGAGAGAGAGGAGACAAGTGGTCTTGGTATAGACTTGGGGTTTTTTTTGAAAAAGTAAATTGATGCACATTCACTAGACTTGTTAGACAAACCTACGATAAGCCAGTAGTCTTAAAGTATTAGTTACTCTCTCTTTCAAAAGAGGACAAATCCTGAGTCTAGCAGCCAAGCTCACCTTCTGCTGTAAAGCAGGGCATGTCAGGAGAGGTCACCAGACCCGTCCTGCTGCACCAGAGCCAGGGAACTCGGCCTGACCGATTCCACGTTGCTCAGCGGTCACTCACCTTCAGGACAATCACATTTTAGGAGCTTAAATCTAAGCCTGGGCATCCTCAGAAATGATTACAAAGAATTCTTGCCCAAATTTCAGCTGACATCCGTTAAGTTTTCATAGACTAACAAGCAAAGGATATCTGGAAAGCAAACTAATTAAAACCCAAACATATCTAATGCTTACGTTTGCCTGACTGATTACTAAAATCTCATTAGAAACGGTCTTATAGCTGGACAACACTGCTGTTCCACACCTTCCCCCAGAACATGGCCCCCAAACCCCCTCCAAACCCCAGGCAGACTTCCCAAAAGCTCTGTCACCAGCTCCCCCAGCTCAGGCAGGGAGGGACGTGGAGGGGAGAGCTCTGGCCACGAGGCCGAGTTGCACCACGGATCCAAGCCCATTATCTCACCCGGCAGACATGCTCCTGTGCATCCCGCACACATAGCCAGACAGTGATTACAGTTTCAAAGCAAGCATGGACTGTATCTGGAGGCCCGTTGGATAGGAGTCTGGTTCCCATTACATTTCACTTTCACAAAACAGAGTCATTTATTTATTTTGGTTTGTTCCTCACTCATTTTCAAACTTAACAACTTAAGTAAAAATTACTTGGCACTGACTTTTGTCCAACCTAATCATAAAAGTACAACTTATTTTTTTTTAAATTTTAATAAATAGTTCATATTCCCACTGAAAGAAGAGCTCCCATGAGGTGCTTTTGCTTTGCTTTAGGCGAGTGTTTTGTTAACTAGGGATGTTAAATAAGTTAAAGTTAGGTTGTTGCATCAACCACTTGCCTGCCTTTCTTCTAAAAGAATGTATTGATTCATAATTTCACAAGAACACTCCTCATTGCCTGCTAAATGTTAAGAGAACAACAGATGCAATTATATAAAGGAAGAAAATAGAGTGCAGATGTTATCCTGACTGAAGGGGATCACTTCTGGAAGTTTAGGTCAGCTCTTTCCTGCACATGCTTGCTGTGATTAACATGGGAACTCTGAGCTCTGACAAGTAAGTGACTGCCTTCACAGCTACACAGTTTTCCTGTAACGTTTAGCAAGCAGAAACATTTCACAAATAAAGGCCATACATGGCCCGATAAGGTGGGGCTGCTTTATTGGCTAACAAACTGTATTATATATAAATAAATGCAACTTTTTTAAAAAACAGGCTTTTGAGATTTAGTCATAGTGGATCCTGCCAAGTAATAAAAACCACACAGAAAACTGTTAGTTCCTCCTGGTATTCTGCAACACAGTGCATTAAAATTTTAAGGAGGATTCTGCTCTCTCTCCTCTTCCTATCACCATTGACAAAATATCTCCCTAATTGCCTAGAGACACTGTGAAAAATGGTTGTATTTTTGCTCCCATCCATGGTTACCTTCCATAAACATATTAATCTATGTTTCAGAACTATTTGTTCTTTGATTTATTAAGGAGGCTTCCTGCTGGTGTAGAGCTTACTCTTGGCACTTTGTCATCTTCCTTGAAACTTCTGGGGTCAAAACCAGCACGAAACCCTTGCAAAGGCAATTCCTACCATGTTCGTGTTCCTACCTCTATCCTGTCCCTGCCCTCTCTCCCCAGCTCTCTGCTTGCAAGCAAAGTCATGTGGGAAACCTCCTCGTAGTCACCCTAGAACCAACCCTGAACAGTTTCCCATTTTCACCTCCTGTTACCCCAGTCTCCTGGCTCATCAGGGGCTGCTTTTGAAATCAATTTCTTGCAGTTTAACACAGGTTGTGACCACTGACATCACCATACAAAGTTTTGAATAATCAATCCTGAAATCTAACAACAGAGTTGGACAAAGGCCAGCACTTTCTTGACACCCACACCACCATTCGCAGCTCAACTGTCTTTTCACAGTGCCAGATCATCTCCTAAAAAGGTAAAGGGTAACTTGACTTTTCAAAGCATCTTCTGTAAATTATTAGAAGTAACAGTTGCTGAAGATGACTGACAAGGAGTTTTCACGTATTTCTTGCTCAGGCTGGAAACGAAAGGAGAAAGACTTGTACAGATTACAGGGCAGCTTATCCAACAACAGGATCATGACTAGACCTCTGTGACTTGCCTGAAGAAACAGTGTTACATCAAACGTTATATTCCTGTTTACTGCCGAGATCCTACCATATTAGTACAAGACAGCAATACCGCGAGAAGGCATTTTTCTCAGTAAAAACCTCCCAGTAAAAAGGGCTGATCTTCTGCCTGCACATGTAGGTAACCCCCTCCTGTCGAGTGAGAAGCTCCAGTAAATTTAATACACCCCAAGAACAGCACCTATGTTGCAACAAGACAAGAGCATGCAAAAATACTGACAGAATAAATGAAGAGGA